AAGCAAGGGAACATGTCTATGATTGAGTATGAGACTCAATTTAATCATAAGGCACGTTTTGCCTTACGATTCTTATCTTCTGAACATGATCGAATAGAGCATTTTGTTGATGGTCTGAGGAGAGAAATCCGGGAGTTTGTTGTTAATCATGATATTTTGAGTTTCAGTAAAGCTGTAGAGTATGCTCGTCGCCGTGAACACCATTTAACAAAAATTGAGGAACCAACTTCTGAATCAAAAAGGCAACAAACTAAAAGAACCTTCTCTGTACCTACTCAACGATAATCTCGATCTTTCACTCCTAGAAGGAGTCAATCTCAAAACATTTCGCGTGCCCAATCACAAGTCTATTCACTTCAATCTAATGCGTCACGTCCTTGTCAAAGATGTGGCAAAACTCACCAAGGGCGATGCCTTACTGAAACAACAAACATGAAATGTTTTTGTTGTGGGGAAATGGGTCACGTTCGTGTAAACTGCCCAAAAAGAAATCGAGCATGTTATTCTTGTGGAGTATTTGAGCACCGACAATTTGAATGCCCCCGTATGAGGCGGGAAGAAAGTAAGGCATCAATGCAGCAACCGCCGGTGGGTGGTGCTTCAAGTCAAAAGGAGGAGGTACCCAAAGCACGAGCTCGAGCTTTTCAGATTACCGCGGAGGAGGCTCGCAATGAGGCAGACGTCATTACTGGTATTTTCTTTGTTAACTCTAGACCTGCTTGTATCTTGTTCGATTCTGGAGCTACAAATTCTTTTGTGTCGTATGTCTATGTTCGTTATCTAGAATCTGTGCCAGTTATGCTTTCTATACCATTTACCGTTGATACTGCTAATGGAGTCACTTTGATAGCTGATAGAGTGTTTAGAGAHTGCACTTTAGTGTTAGACGAACATGAATTTTTAGTAGATTTGATTCCTATGGATATCCGTGGTTTCGATGTCGTGATTGGTATGGATTGGTTAGTGAAGAACCGTGCAGATTTCATTTGTTCTCAGAGGATGATTCGGGTACCAGTTGAGAATGGAGACTACTTATACATTTATGGGGAAAGACGTATAGGCGACTTGAAGGTAATATCTATGCTTAAAGCACGACGTTAGATTGCTAAGGGTTGTTCTTCTTTCATGGCATATGTTTTGGATGCAACCAAAGAAATGAAGAAAACTGTAAAAGATGTACCAATTGTGTGTGAATTTCAAGATGTTTTCCCTGACGACTTGCCTGGGGTACCGCCAGATAGGCAAGTAGAATTCCGTATTGATTTAATGTCGGGTGCTGCACCTATTGCAAAGGCACCTTATCGCCTTGCACCAACCGAGATGAAAGAGATGATGAGTCAGTTGCAAGAATTGCTAGATAAGGGCTTTATTAGACCGAGCACTTCCCCTTGGGGTGCTCCGTGAAGAAGAAAGATGGATCTTTTCATATGTGCATCGATTACCGCGAATTAAATAAGGTAACGATAAAGAACAAATATCCATTACCGCGTATAGATGACTTGTTCGATCAATTGCAAGGCGCAAGTTATTTTTCAAAGATTGATTTGAGGTCAGGTTATCATCAACTCAAGGTACGTGAAGAGGATGTACCAAAGACAGCTTTTCGTACCCGATACGGACATTATGAATTTCTTG